ATGAGAATCTTTTGGCTCTCTGTATAGAGGAGAAATCCTGGGTTCAGTGGAGCAGGAGGACTCTAGCTGTAAGCATGCAGGAAATTTATTCTTCAGTATCTTGTCTTCAATTGTGCCTATTTCTTGCTTATTACAGAAGTTCCCTGTTTTACCATTTCAGTAAATAAATCCTCAGTCCTCTGCTCTGGTGGCAGGAAAGGTCTATGAATCTATTTGCTTCTGAAACAGACTTTCAGCCAACATTTATTTTAGTTACCCTCCTGCTGTTCTTCACTTCCACTTTCATAGGTCTTTGGTGCTGTCACGGATTCCCCTGTATAAAATTACACTGGTTCTTGCTTTCCTCTTGGTTAGTCTAGAGAGTTCCAGGTCTAGTGAACTAAGGAATCAAAACAGAGCTATAGTCATGGCCCGTCCATCAATTCCTTGATTGAGCCAGTTTACAGATAGGGATGCCCCTTGAGTGAATGAACATTTGGGTCTCCTCAATGAAAGGACCTGTGCATAGTCAAAATTTAGAAGGGGTAATCAAAATATGATTAATGTTCTAATTCAGAAACAGTTATTGTAGTAAAAGACATTGCCATTAATCTTTCTCAAAACACTCCCCCTCACTTTGAACACACTTATCCCCAAATTCTTGCCACATTATGAAGCAGTTCTGGAAGTCTCTTACAAGGTGTGATCAAAAGTATGGTGAATTCGGCTGCTAGTACCATCCAAAAAAATGTAGGCTCATAAAGACTTTTCATTGTGTCTTCATCCAATGGATCTGGCACTGTTTTGACTTCTAGGTCTTCCCCAAAGTCAAAATAACCATGAAAAGTAAACATTTTTAATTGATTCAGGGCATTGAAATAGCCACAATGGTGCAGCTGAAGACACTCGTGAAAGAAAAGTTGCAGAACTCCTTTAGGAAATGTCCGGAATGATAGGATAAACATATTTAAAGTGAGGGAGAGTACCTTGAAGAGGATGAAAAGCAGTGTATCTCTTAGTATGCTGATTTTAAAGATTTAAATGTTTACTGTATGTTTTGATCACACCTTGAATAATGATCTTTCTCCTAACCTTTTCCAGAGGTGCCTGTTTACCAGAGTGGCTATACATTTGGCGAATAGCCAGAATTGGAGAATTACTAGACACTAGCTCTGAACTGCAAACAATTTTAGGAGAGTGAAAGTGTCTCTTTGGCCCACCGGACAGAGTAAGGGCTTTTGGAGGTCATATCATCAATGGAGCAAGTCCAGCTCATAGCAGGCACAGAGAATTCCCAGGCCCACTCTGGTTGTTTCCTCAGCTCTAGAATGTGTACTTGGAATAGATGTACTTGGCACCTTACGGAATTCCCACTTTCCCCACTGCATTTGCTAAGTCATTTACCACTCATCAGTTTGCCTTTCAGCTTATAAATTTTATTGTTATTATTTCTTCCCTTTTGTTTTCCATGTGTTGTGAGTCTGTGACTTTAAAAAGTTCCTGTTTTTTTTTTTTTTTTTAGTTGCAGGAGGGAGTGAGTATGGACCTATAGTAATCTTCCGTATTTACATGGAACCTCTATACTGTTTTAGTAGATGGTGTTTCCATGTCTGTGAATACCATCCACAGGCTAATGAAACCTACATTTATTTTTTTAGTTTTTTGTTTTTTGAGACAAGGTATCTTTATGTAGTTCAGGCTAGCTTTCAATTTACTGTGTGATCTAGGCTGGCTTTGAACTCAGAGCCATCTTCCTGCCTCAGCCTCAGCTGGGATTATAGGCGTGCACAACCATGCCTAGTGTTAAACCTACATCTGTGTCATGAGCCTTGATTCTCTTTCCTCTGAGCTGTAAACATGCATATTAAATTTCTTACTCAATTCTTTCTTTTTGTATATTTAATATCTCAGATACTTAATTTCCAAGCCTTTTCTTGAAAAGCCCATTTCTTATGCAGTCTTGTTCTTAACTGATTTCTTAAATGCACAATAATTGGAGTCATCCTTAAATTTTCCTTCGGTTCTATCTCAACTTCATTAGCAAGTCTACTCAGTTCTAGATCGAAGATCTATCTGGTATTCTTCCACCTCTCTTCACCTTAATGTCTGCTACTCCAATTTAAATGATTTTCACTTCCCACCTGGGTCCATGTAACTTCCCAATCGCTCCTCTGCTTCCACTCTTGCATTGTTGGAATGAGGCTGCCTCCACTGTGGTCAGAGTGAGGATTGATTCAGGGCTTTTTCAAAACCTTCAGTGCCACCGCCCATACTTGGGTTGCAGTCCACACTCCTTCCTCTTCCCACAATGCCCCACAAGATATGGCTTTGGTCTCAGTGTTTGATTCATCTCTTGCCAATGTCTTCCTTGCTTCTTCTGCTCTGGTCACATAGGCCTGTTTGTCAAATTGATCCAGCTCGTTCTGTCTCTTGGAGCCTTTGCAGTTGCCATTTGGTCTCCGTGCTCATCCTTCCCCATATGTTCCAGTAGTATCACCTCTGAGATGACTTCTCTGGTCACCTTCTCTTCCAGCCACCTCTGTTATTCTCTTACATTATCTCTATTTATTTCCTCTAGGAAATGAAGTTTTAATTTATTATTTTGTTTTTATTTTTTATCAGTAGTGTTTGCAGCACCTAATGATTCCATTCCTCATGGGGAGTTGGTGCACATACATAACCCATCTTAATTCTCTTTTCTAAATCTTCTTCCCCTCTCCTCCTCCCATCTCTTGGCCTCTTTCCCTTTTTCAAAAGTTCTAGCTTGCTTTTTCCTATATCTATTCTTTATTTTGCGCTTTATTTATATTTTGGGTTTCTCATAGAAGAGAAGTCATACAATACTTAAGCTTGTCGGCCTATTTCACTTAGCATTATGCTCAAGATACATCCATTTTCCTACACATTGCTCATTTATCTTTCTTTATGGAAGATTATTCCTCTATTTTGTGCAAATGCCACATTTTCTTTATCTATTCATCTGTTGATGGACAGGTAGCCCACTTCCAAGATTTAGCTATTATGAATTATGCTGCTATAAACATGGATATACATGTATCACTGTAATATGATGTTTTTAACTCTTTGGTGAAGATACCTAGAAGGTGAATAGCCAGATTGAATAGAAGTTCTAGTTTTAATTTTTTGAGGAATCTTTATACTAATTTCCATAATGGTTGTACTAGTTTACACTCGCACCAGCAATGTAGAAGGGTTCCTTTTTCCCCATAGCCTCACCCCCATCTGTTATTATTTGATTTCTTGATGATGGCCATTCTTTCTGAGGTAAGATGGAATCTCAGTGTTGTTTTCATTTGCATTTCTCTAATGGCCAGGGTTGCCAAACATTTTTTCATGTATTTATTGGCCATTTGTACTTCTGAGAAGTGTCTGTTCATTTTGGTTGCCCGTCTTTTGATTGAGTCTTTTTCTCCTGGATGTATTTTATTCGTTTTTATCGTCTTTCTCTAGCCAATAGATATAAGCCATAGAGGGCATTGGTCTCCTCCGGTGGCATCAAACTTGTGGCACATGCTGCAGCAGGCTGTTTGTGTCATTGAAAGCTCTAGAAGGCTTACCATCACAGTCTGTCTTTTTCTCTGCTGACACCGTCATGGCTAGAGTATTATTTTGCCCTTAGTAGATACTAAAAGACTATTGTGTGGGTGGGTAGGAGGGTGGGTGAATAAACACTTTTTCAGTGCTCTACTGACTACTAGTGTGTTAGTGCTTCTGGACAATTTCAGAAGGTTTGCCACCTGGATTAACTCTACTTAAGAATGCTCTCATGAGCCCCTTTTCTTTACAAAACAGTCTTTTTTAGTCCTGAGAGTTTAATTTCCCAAGTAGCAGATTGCTGATTTTCTCTTTCTGCTTTTCACCTAGAGGTCATACATAAAGCTGTTTTGTGCAGGAGCCTGGACGCGACTTGGGTAGAGGGATGACCAGCGTACCTTTTCATCCCTCAGACCTGCCTGAGTATGGTGCTGGATACAAAGCTAGCGATAGCAAGTAGCAATTTAGTCCTAGTGGCTCACCCCGCAGAACTGGGAGTCTGCTTTGCTTTCTAATCTCTTCCAGTCAGTCTTTTAATTTTTATATCATTCTCTGCCAGCTGACCCCATTAAAACAAGGTGAGACTAAGGTGGGGTATTGTAGGAGGGTTTCCTCAGTTTCATTTCATCATCTTCTGAAAGGAGTTGAGAGATTACAAATTGTGAGGGCCCCTTTGTCTAATCAGCAGCTTTAAATCTGGTGCTTTCTGGTCCACCTCTTCTTGAGTGTGTGTGTATATATATATATATATATATATATATATGTATGTATGTTTGTTTTGGGTCCCGGTACAAGTTTCCT